AGGAAAATATAGGATTTTCCTGGGGTAACTCAACCTTACATAAACAGACTGTTTAACATACAACTAATGGATAATCAAACATCTTTTATAAGAAAACATAGGATTTTCTTGAGAAGCACTTTTCAAAGGATCAAAGAACACTTTCCTCCAAAAATTAAACGCTTCTGAACTCACCAGCTTTATGCTGATATTTTTAAACTGTTTGTATTCTCAGGGCATTAGTAGACAGGTACTTCCAGGAGTTTGGAGAATTTGGAGCGTTAGAGTCACGTCTTTACTATTGTACTTTTGCTATGAACAAAACTATGTAATAAACAATGTAAACCTTTTTCACTTATGTATTCAATGCCCGGTTGTGTTTACTATGCTTGCTATGATACAATTGTTGTGATACTACACATGACGTCCTCCGCCCCAGAACGTTTCCGTCGTTCCGGTTTTGGGATGTGACATTATGTGTTATTGTGTTATGTTAGTCTTTGAATGTTTTATGATGATGTATAAAAGTACATTGCTATTTTATTATATCAAATTCAGTGTGTTATATTAAACTGTTAATTTATAAATGTGTTATGTTAATGTACCACTTAAATGTGTTGTGATTTAGATTGATGATGAAGATTTGTTTGTTTATAAACTCAAGTTGGAAAAAAAAGTCGAAACAAGTCAAAAACAAAGAAGACATGGAAATATGCCAAAAGGCCGGTTTGTTGGACCGATTATGAAGATCTTCATATTAACAACATTAAACATAGCAAATGCAAAAGGTATGACACATTTCTTAAAACTGAATCTGGCAAAAACGGCACTTCTAGTATGATTATACATACTAAAAGATGTAAAAAGAACCCACAAAATTTAGAAAAAAAAATTAGAAAACCAAACCACTTTAAATTTCAAAAAAAAATGAAAACAGGGAGAGTAGTATTGGAAATTGGAATCATGATGAGAAAAGAATAAAAAAAATAAGAAAAAATAAAAAATAAAAATCTTTGTTAAACTTATTTGTAGTTGAAGAATTATCGTTCAAGTTTTTAGAGAATGAATCATTTATTGAGTATACTAATGCATTGAACGAGAAAGTAGTTTTGCCATGAAGAACCACAATTTCAAAAAGAATATCCGATTACTTTCTTGAAGAAAATGCTAAGTTGTTTAAGTTCTTTAGTAATTCAGTAAGTAATGTGGATTTGACCACCGATTGCTAGACAATCTCATGTTAAAGGCCGAGCTATATGGTGGTCACGACCCACTTTATTGATGAAGATTGGGTCATGCACAAAAGAATTATCAACTTTAAATCTTTAGATAGTCATAAAGGAGAAGACATTAGACGCACGTTGTTGACTTGTCTTCAAGAGTAGGGTATCAATAATGTAATTACCATAACCGTAGACAATGCTAGTTCAAATGATAAAGCAATCGAATTTTTAATGAAAAAACTACCAAACTTGTAAACAATTACATGTAAGGTGTATGGACCACATCCTTAACCTTATTGTTAAGGATGGGTTTGATCAACACCAATATAGTATTAATTGCATGCAAAGGGCCATTAAATACATTAGGAACTTCACACAACGGATTCAAAGGTTCAATAAATGCATGAAAGAACTAAATCTGGAATTCAAGAAATTTATGTGCAATAATAGCCTAACCCGATGAAATTCCACATATGAGTTATTGAAGATTGCGATGGAGTTGAAGAAGGTTTATGACAAGTTTGAAGTTAAAGGTTCTTTCATATTCCATTCCATTGCTTTTTTTTTCAGCGTGTTCGCATAAATTTATGCAACTTTGAACTGCCATAGCATCTTCGTTATTTGCCCCACTGATTATTTTTCCATATTGTAGTTCACAATTTAAACTATTGTTTACATATTTTATGTGTTATTTTTGGTTATATATAAAATGAGATACATGCCCCTAAACATGGGGTATTGAAGCTGAGTTTTCTGTTTCAGCATGTTTGCAGAAATTTAAGCAACTTTGAACTGTCATAGCATCTTTGTTATTTGCCTGATTTTTTTTCTAGCTTATAGTTCACAATTTAAACTACTTTTTAAATAGTTTATCTTCTATTTTTGGTTATATTCAATGAGATACACACCTCCTAAACATGGGGTATTGAAGCTGAGTTTTCTGTTTCAGCATGTTTGCAGAAATTTAGGCAACTTTGAACTGTCATTGCGTCTTCGTTAATTGCCTGATTTGTCTGATTTTCTTTTCCAAATTGTAGTACTGTTTACATAGTTTAAATGCATTTTTTCATTGAATATTCAATAAGATACAGGCCCTAAACATGGGGTATTAAAGCTGTTTTTTTAATAAACTAACATTTACTTTATTGTAATAGATCATACATATGTTCAAGATGTTTTGACCCCCGGTAGAAGAATATTTCAATATTTGTAGAGTTGTGTTGGATTTCTCGAGAAATTCAAGGTGAAAACTGACATAGTATCGACGTCAACAAAACCGATGGCACATCATTTTTTTAGAAATATGTGATATGTACAAACACATTAAGGAATGGGCGCCAAGCCCCCAATTTTGTTTCACCGACAAGGAAATGATTGAAAAATACGATAAGTATTGGGGCGATCTTGAAATTTAAACGACTTTTTGTATTTTACGATCGTATTAGATCCACTGTTCAAGTTTAAGTTTCTTCAATAAGCCTTTGAGAAGTTGATTAAGTTAAAGAATACACAAAAAGATCTCATGCTCAACTTGGAAGTCAGTTTGAAAGCTAAGGCCTTAATACGGGGTCTTCAAAAAAGATTTGAGAATTTTTTTATTTCTACAAAGCAAAGTTTGACAATACTGACTCTTCTCAAAGTCAAACACATGCTCATGAATGTATAGTTGTGACTGATGACGAAAACGACTTCATGGGTGATTTAATAGTACAAACGGATTACCCATCGACACCAATGGAAACGAAGTTGATACGATACCTATACAGTAAAGATTTTGATATTCTACTTTGGTGGAAAGAAAATGCATCTCGTTACCATGTTGTATCTCATATGGAGAAAGGTATAACTTTATCTATTTGTATACTTTTTTATAATTATATTTTAAGACTTTCTATGTTTGTGTTGATAGATATTTTGGGACTGCAAATCTCTACCATGGCTTCAGAGGCGGCTTTTAGTACAAGCGGGCGGATATTAGATCCATACCTAACAATTTTGTCCGCAAATATAGTAGAGGATTTGGTTTGCACCCAAGATTGGGTAACGAAATCAAGAACGCCAATTATGGATAACATTGATGAAATTTTAAAAGACGATGAGGTCGTGAAAGCTTTGGAAGAGACGATAAACAACAGATGTGGAAAGGGAAAACAACCAATCAATATTCTTGAATAATTAATTCGTGTTTGGTAAATGTTATTTTGGATATGGTTAAAAACTTAAGATTCATATTTTAGTTTGGATGTTGAATGTTTAATGTTTAACTTATATACTTATATATGGATTTTTTGGTGTTTAATGTTTAGTGTTTAATATGTTGCTTCATAACTATATCTAAAGATTTTGATGTTTGAATTTTACATTCGTATATCTCAAGAATAGTTAATTCGTGTTTACAATAAATTTAAAGAAAAAGTGGAATCATTTTCAGTGTATATTGAATATTTGGTGCGTTAACTTGGGAACAAAAACATACTAAATATATAATTCGTGCTTACATGTAAACCTACAATTATATGTTTGTCCTTACTGTGCATGCTTACTGCACAAATTCTGATATTTTTTTGCACATTTGAAACAATTATGTATACTTTCATTATTTTTAATCAACAAATTTGTTTTTTTTTTTAAATTTTGTTATGGAATCATAAGCTACAAAAGTAATAAAAAAAATACAGTGTTTATAATTGTAATTGTTATTCGGGTTATGGAATTATAATACGGTTTATTTGGTTATTTTCAGTTCTATTAGGTCATTAATCATATCGTGAATGTTATTCGGGTTATTCGGGTAATAACCGACCCGGACCGATTAATACCCCGAACCGAATCGAACCCGTATTAGGTTAATCAATCCGGGTTTCGGTTCCACCAATTAGCTTTATTCGGGTTCGGGTCGGTTCGGTCCGATTCTGACCCGAATAACATCCTACAATACATGGTGTATTTTGCTAAAAATTGAGTTTTGAATTCCTATAGATGTTTAGATTTTATATATATATATATATATATATATATATATATATATATATATATATATATAATAGCAACATACTTTAGTTATTTACCCATGATATCATCACACTTATAATATCTACCCATAAGAGAAACTTACTTAAGTTACATTACCAATGTAGATAATGTACCATATTTGTTACATATTGATCTTATAAGTAAAGAAATATAAGTAGCTTGTTATTATTGGTAAGAAATGGTAAGTACAAAGGCATTAGGTGAAAAAAATGTATACATGTTGCTATGAATTAAATTTCTCTTATTGGTATAAGTGTAACTAGAATGCTAGTTTATTTAAGGATATGTAAATACATTACTATCATGTGTATAAGTAAAGTACAAGTGTACGATAGTCGTTTTTACATCGGTCAACGGGCATAACAATAGTTAGTTTGGTATTAAAAACATATATCTAACACTAGCAAGCTTGCAAAATAAAACTTGACACCTACGTTTACAACTTATGTAGCGTTTTTACATTAGTCAACTTGCAAAATAAATTGAATACCCATTTTCATATCGTATATCATATTTTAACATCATATTCCATGAATACAAAAATTAATTATAAATCTACATATCGATTTTTTCATTTGAGTTATTTGGTTAGCCTAAAATATTGAAAAAATTAACCAAAATCAAACCATATAAAGCTATCTTTATTTTGTTGACCAAACCAAATAACCCAAAGCTCATTTGGTTTTGGTCGATTATTTGGTTTCGGGTTTTTTAACATCACTAATATATATTGTGATTGTCATCAAAAGTATCCATAAAAAGTTTATCCAGTCAAATCTAGTCACGTCTCACGTATCAAACATTGATCACAAACAATAATAGACCCTAAATAATCTTGAAATCAATCTTTCACTAGTTATCTTAATTTTATATTAAAACTTTAATCCAACAAAATACCTATCCCTGAAAACACTACTTAAATAGGGTGACAAAATTCCATGCAGTAAAAAACAAGCCAACAAAACACCATTTTAACTTTATTGGGACTGAAGGAAAATTTCGAACCAAAATCCATACCGTCTTTCCTGAATAAAAAGAAAGAAAATATGATCTTAGTATAAAAATACATATTAATTAGTTTTTAGAAATGAATGGAAATAATAAGCAAACCTTGAGAAAATAAATGGTAGTGATTATTTGGACTTCTTTTGTTCTAAAGAAGCCCTTGCACCAGCAATCTTGCAAATGGGTTCGTCTTTAGAGCGAGCAAGCTTGAGAGCAGGATGAACTTTGAGATCCCCCATCACCAATTTCTGACCCGCGTCTAATTCGCTTAAATCCACTTCAATAAATGGAGGGATTATATCCGCTGGACATATGAACTTTGCTGTTCTTTTAATGATGTTTAGATAAGACCCTACACATATTGTCATTTTCAAAACACACCCATTATTATTATTATTATTATTATTATTATCATACCCATGATGATTTATTGGTGCAGAGACAGATCAAAAGGGTGAGAAAATCTTGGAATATGGTGGGGATATCAGGAGACAAGGGCAAAATGGTAATTTGAAATGATTAACCAGTTGGGTCATAAAACAAGATGGCCTAGGGATCTGTTGTAGCTTACTTTCAAATTTCAAACTAAGTGAAAAGTTAAAGTTGTAACAAATTCATGTCATTGTTGCATATGATTTTAGTACAAAAAGAAGCTATTGTTATATATATATATATATATATATATATATATATATATATATATATATATATATATATATATTTTTTTAAATATTGAAATTGTGCATACCTTTTTTCAACCCAGGGGACACATCATCTCCAATAAACACAAGTGGAACATCAACCTTCAATAAAGCATGAGATGGTGCTCTTACAAATGTCACATTCAGCACAGCATCTGTAGCAGCATGAAGATGAAGCTGAAATCCAGATAAACCACAAACAAATTCATATCTTCATTTCATTACTAAATAGTCTTAATCCAAGAAAAATAAGAACTTTCTCATACCAATCGAGGCAAGACACGAACTTTCTCAATAACATCATCACTTTCAACATCAGCCCTCACCTCAAGATCAAAGAGGCGTGAAAGAAAATAAGAAGTTCCAAGATGATTTACAAGTTTCTTGATTTGATTATTCTGAACAGAAATCAGCCTTTTGTTGCCTCCATGTTGTCCATCTTCTTGCTCAAACACAATACTTGGGACACGTCCAGCTTTGCGTTCTTTGGCTGATATGTTTTTCCCAGAGAGTCCACGTGGCAACGCGTGAATGGTCTCAGCATGTTTAGGGTCTGGTTTAGGAAAACCTTCAAGATATGTCAGTGGGGTTTCGTCATAATCTTGAATTAAAGCTGATGCTGCTGATGTGGAGGATTGTCTGATGCGGCGGATATGTAGGGCTCTAGTGAGCATTTGGCGAGGAACCAACATTTGGTGTCTTGGGTGCAAGTCCAAAATTTAATAATTTTCTGAGAAGGTATATCATAAAACACATATAAATAGACATTTTCATAAATAAATCATGTACTTTAGTAGTTATACACCAAATTCAATGCAAAAATAGAGATAAGATATTGCTTCTAAACTTTCTTTTTTTCCCTTTTATAATTTAAGACCAATTGATGGACAGAAAAAAAAAATAAAGATGTCAGATAGATTGAAACATATATATATATATATATATATATATATATATATATATATATATAGGGTCATATATTGGCATTTGCATGAACATACTTCAAGTAGATTTGTACCAAATGTTAAAAGTATTGCTACTTACAAAAAAGAAAAAGAAAAATGGTTTTCTTGGTGAGGTTTTGGGTTATGCCAAAATCATAAATAGCCCTAGAATAAATTTATCAAAACTGTTTCTTAAAATCCCTAAAGCAACATAATATGCAATCTTTGCATTTTACAAAGAAGAGGCAAACTTCAAGTTTGGATGTTAAACAAGTTATCTTCCGAATTTTAAATTGATGTGGACTCTTAACTTGTATAGAAAACATTGATAACTAACTTTTCATCAATTGAGAAGATATAACTAGGTTTTCCATTAAACAGCCACAAAATTCAAAAAATGAAATCCGGATTTACTCTGTTGGGTAAAAATTCTACACCAAACTGAAAAACCTAATTTGAATTCAGTTTGGTTCGGTTTCAAACCAAAAACACTGAAGGGTGGATTTCTAGGGCATATGCAGTCCTTACGTTGTGTTATTTTCACAAGTCCTTCTCTTTCTTTTTCTATTGATTTCTACATTACAATAACCAAACCAGCTTGAGGATTTAAATGTATGTGTATCTGGTAATGTCTTCTATTGTGTCTATATACAAGATGCTAATGCAATGTAAACAGTTCTAATTTAGCTCAAATACAAAGTTACAAACAGAAACATAGAAAAGCGTTACACATACATGATATAGCTGCTGGAAATGAACGATGGAAAAGGAGTGGAGGAGGACAAAGAACTACTCGTCTCGTACACTCGTTGTCGTCGTCGACATAGGGAAACGGCTGAACACCTGGAAAACGAAGGATTTAAAATTGAAAAAACTGAATAAGCTCAAAATCACAAATAATGCTAATCTCATTGTAACTTGACAAAACTCTCATACAATTGAAAATAAGAAACTTAACAAAACACAAAATTAGGTTAAGCGTTCTTACAGATGATGGAATCGGTGTCAGGCCGGAGATGGAGGAATCAACGAATCAGACAATTAACGTCGACGATAGAGGCCGAAGAGGGAGGAAAGCGCTCAGCAGTAGAAGTGAGAAGAGGTTTTGTGCAATTGCGAACTGTGAAACTGTGAACTGTGAAGGCTTTTTTGGGGCTTAGGGTGAGACAAAAATCGCTAAGGAGTAAGGGCTTAAGAGTTAGCCCATCTGAATATGTGAAAAACCATGAAGAAAAACGTTGAATGTGACATTGTTAGGCTTTTTGGAAAAAAAATAAAAAAAAAAATAAAAAAAAAATCGGTACAAAAAACAAACACAATCGATCGTTATGACACTAGAAATATAAATCGAGTATTTCAATTTAGTTTTTAATAATAGACCAAAAAAGATGACACATCAAACCATCCTTTGAATGATAGTAAAAACTAAACTGTATCTAAAAACAATAAAAAAAAACTACATAAACCGAAAATGAGACGGAAATCAATGTGCGGCTTTTAATTTTTCAAAACTACAAATTTCGATGCAGTGCGGTTTCTAATTTTCCAACCACCGTAAATAATTGAACCGCACCGAATTTAATATATTATTAATTATATATAATAATTTATTATTAAGTTAATAATAATATATACTAATAAAATTACTAAAAAGAAATGCATGATAATGAATATTGAATTGAGAAGTTTGGTTCAATTTGTCAAATACATTTGCCATGTGTCGGATAATCTTGGCTCCGACCCATACTCTTATAAAACCGTTTTGTAACACGTATCCAAAATTAATCATGTGATTGGTTCTTCTCGGTGACATTATCTTCTGATATGTCGATTCATGCATACGTTAATTATGTCTCTTTTTTTATTTCATCTTCTACTTTCAGCACTCCCTTTTTCTTTTTGGTTAAGCTTCTTGTGCGGGTTCGGAATCGAAAGGGGTTTCAGTTGAGGGTGTTGTAGGTGGTTGGGATTGGAATTGGATTTGGATTTGATTTTTTTTGTTGGGGGTGTTGTACGTGGTGGTTGGGATTGGAATTTGAATTGTTGTGGAAATAGGTTGGCGTTTGGTGGAAACACTTGTTATGGTGACATTTAGAATTGTGAATAGTAGCTAGAACATCACCTACAAACATTTGGTTTTGAGAGTAAATTGATGGATCGAATTGTGGTCGATAAGGTGGTAGGGATGACAGAACGTAACTGAAAAGTGCATTTGGGTTGGAAGGGTTAGGAGATGGTTATTGGAAGACATTTTGAGAGTAAAAGGTTTGTATTTTGTGTAGATTAAATGGTAAAAGTGTGTATATATAGTGGTTATTTAGTAAAAAAAATCTTAAATACTTCTACATAAAAATAAAAAAAATAAAAAAAACCGGCTACAAGCCTCTCAACGGTCAATTTTTTTAACGGCAGAAGGTTGGCATTGGCATAGTGTCAGACGGCAAAAAATCCATCGGGGTACGGTGTTTGTCGTCGGTAATAGGCTTCATATCGGCATGTCGACGACAATAATTGTTGGGTTTTCTAAGCATCAAATACACATTGACTGGGCAACGAAAATAATTAATAATTTACATAAGTGTACGTGCACCACAAGATCTAGGTTTACTAGTTTTAGCAACGTACTTTAAAATCAAACTAAAAGAATGATAGATTACATACCTCTTGATCTCTTGATTGAGACATTGTGATTAACAACTTTTGCAATTGATGAAGGACTCAAAGTAGAATCTCTCTAATATAGTCTGAACCAAGACTCCAATAAGCAAACAAGGAAAACCCTAGTGAGGTTTAAATCAAATTTTCTATATCCCAAGAGAGGGGATATGAATTTCGACTGATAGATAAGAAACATAGAGGGGAAAAATAAATTAGAGTCTTAGGAACCCCTTGGATTTGATCTCAAACATCCTATTTATAGGCTCCAAATCCTTAAGTCGGTCAGATTTCTAAGGATAATCTTTATCCTTTTCAAAAACATGTCTTATCCTAATCCTTAGGATAAAATCATCCTTACCGTTCTTTCTGAAGGGTTCTAAAATATTCTGATTTATCTCAAGGATTTTGTAACATCTTGGCGATGAGGTATTCTAAATTTAACCCTAATATGAAGAAATATTGCATTTTTGACCCTTGGAACGAGTTTTGTTTGCAAATTTGGCCCATAGTGGCATTTTCGTAAATCCAGGCAAGGCTGAGTACGTTAGGCGTACGTTGTGTACGCTGGGCGTACATACGCGGGCCTTAGTATGTTGGACGTACACCTCATACACAGGGCATACGTGAAGAATCCTCAAACCCTAATTTGTAGGGTTTGGTCCATATATAATCATCATTAACTCCTCATTTCTCATTTCCTCTTCAGCCTCCACTTGCTATTTCATACATTTAGAACCCTAATCCACCTTGAGAGTGTTCTTGAGCTTTTGTGGGTACTTTTGGTGATTAAGAAGTAATGAGAAGAAGAGAGGTCCACCTTGGAAGTGTGAAGCACCTTAGATCCAGAATCTCATCACCATTTGGCATCATTTTAAGGTAAAAAGATCTAAACTTGATGATGGTTTGTTTAAGATCTTGTTAGCCTTGAAGTTGTGAACATTTTGGTCCCATTAGCATGGCATTTTGAGTATGGGTTACTCTAAGTCATTTGAGTCGTCCTTTTAGACATTTCATAGTGCTGTTGTGCATAAAGATATGATCTTGAGTGTTGTATCTAACCCATGCATGTGTTAGATGGTCTTATTAGGTTAAGAACATAGGGTTTTGGACATTAAGCACTTTATAGCCATGCAAAGTCATAAAGTTGGAAACTTTATGACTTAGGACATCATTTTGGCCTTGGATCTGAGTTTTGGACGGAAAGGCTTAATGGAATAAGCTCTTAATGGGGTTTTGGGACTAGGCAGCGTACGTTAGGCGTACCTGTAGGTACGTTGCGCATATGCGGTCAGCGCCCCACTTTCTGGTCAGCATCAGAGTACGTCGGGCGTACTCTAGTATTACGTCGGGTGTAATCCGCTGTGAAGACTTGTTGACTTTTGGACCTTTGATCGTTGACTTTGACTTTGACTAGGGTTGACCAAGTTTGACTTAAGGGTATTTTAGATATTTTGAGCTATAGTTAAGCCTTGGTCTCTATCTGTTGATTAGGTGTCACACCCCCGAACCAGACGGCGGAAACGTCCGAGGGCTCGTGTGACTATCAATTGAAATATCATCATAATGAATATACATGAAACATAACACATTCATCACCAAACATTACATATTACAACTGGTATTGTTCACATCAAGTGCATTGTCATAGATTACATAAATCCAAAGTATTAATAGTACGATGAGTGACATTACATAAAATAAATCCATACACACTTGAAAGTCCTTCTGCTTAACGATTATCGGAGAATACAAGTTATTTTGAAAACGGTCAACATATATAATGTTGATGAGTTCATAAGCATGTTTGAATGAAAGTCTTTGTATTGTTTGTAAAACACAGAAAATCCGATATTTTCTGTAAAAAAAAAAGTCTGAAAAATGATGTGAAAACCGAGTATAAATGCATGTGTGAATTTCATAGTAGTAACATATAGAAATGCAGTTCAAATTTCTTTGTATTCTTTCTGTTGTAAGTAAGTGGTATTTGAATAATAGTATTTCCCCAGAAAATCCGATATTTTTTTATTTGTAAAAATGTCACGGTCTTTGCACTGTCGAAATGTTTTGTATCAATATGAGTTACAAGTTTTTAAGTTTTCGTAATGTCGTGATGGGAATGGATCTCTATATGAGTCGTTATAACCATACATGATAGTGACTGATTTGCTTGTCTTGGCATTTTTCCAAACGCCGGATTTTCGATCAAGGTTTTGTCACCCTAGACTGGCCTAGTCTAACTGTAGCGAACAGCTCAGGTGTGGGGGAGTCACCCCCGTATAGATCTATACACAAACTCTCGCTCTCCCTCCAGGAGACTCTGATTATAACTACAAGTTACGGCCATACACTCAGTGATGTCAACCGACACGTCTCACTAGATCCCATTTGTCTCCACATGAATTTGTATAATGTTATATGTATTTAGAAGTTCGAACACTAGATGATGCATGAAATGAAAAGATAAGGCCCAACAAACATGAAGAAAAGACAACTATGGCCCATTAGACGTGTAAGTTATTTCCAGGCTAAATTAGCATGTAAATGGGCCACTAAGGCCCAATAACATGTAAAAGCTAAATTAGGCCTATTTAGCATGTAATTGGGTCACTGAGGCCCAATAGACATGTGATGAATACATTGGGCCCAATAAACATGTAAATGGATCACGAAGGCCCAATAAACATGTATAGCAAATACTAGGCCCAATTATCGCACCATTATTGTATTTCGTTTATTTGTTATAGTATATTTCGTTTAGTCGAATTATCTATCTTTAGCATTATAAAAAGTCCAATGTTTTGTTAGAACGATATTTTTAGTTTGATATGTCAAAAATTCTATAATTAGAACCCGTATTTATTAGAAATTTCACTTTAGGTCCCTCAAGAGCTAATTTGCACATTTAAAGGTTTATTTTACATAAAATGTCATTTTGGTCTATTTTAAATTAAAAATAACATTTTAGTCCATAAATTTATAAAAACTTATATTTTCGCCCCAAATGTTTAGTAAATGACGGGGTTGGCCCAAAAATACATGTAATGATGTTTTTAGCCCATTTTTGCATAAAATTACAATTTCAGCCCTTATTTGAATAAAATAACATTTTCGACCCAATTTTTATAAAATTAACATTTTTGGTCCAAATCTTGAGATAGTGTCATTTTCAGCACCTAATCTCGTTTATTCTCATTTTTTGGCTCAAGTTTTGATTAAATGAGATTTTAATCCCCAAAAATTGATATTTTTGCAATTTGGTCCCAAAAGCCGTGAGGCCCACATTAAGGCCCAAAATGCCAAATTTTACACTTTTGGCCCTTAGGAAAATATGATTGTTCTAAAAACTCATTTTTAAGCTAATATGACCCTTTTGGTCCCTATAAAACCGTAGGTGTCACCCTTGTCCCAAACTTTTGTTTATTTGCCAAAAATGATCCTTATACAAGGTTTTGTTTTGTTTTTCACAACTTAGGCATATATATAACACTTTTAACTTTGTAGTATGGTGTCTAGTAGGGATGAGATTTAGAACCGGAAAACCGGACCGGAACCGGAATCGGATCGGAACCGGAATCGGACCGGAACCGGAACCGGAAGAACCGGAATATGTAAAACCGGTCCGGGTCCCGGGTTTAAAGAATGGCTCTATCCGGGTTCCGGGTAATCCGGGTTTCGGGTCCTTCGGGTCCGGGTAAACCGGGTTTAAGAACCGGAACCGTGTTAGGAACCGGAACCGGTTTTAGGGGCCGGAACCGGTTTCTATGGAAAGTTTAAAACATGCATATCTCATTCGGTTGAAGTCGGATTGGCATGAGGTTTTTTCCATAGTATAGTTTATAGTTTTTACATGATTTTAGACTATAATTTTGTCATTTTTGGGTTTATATTCATTGACTTATAGTCTCTCAAAGTCGGGATATCAAAGCTGGAAATTTTATGTTTTTCAGCTTTTTTTGTATTTTGTGATAGTTTTAAAACATGCATATCTCATTCGTTTAAAGTCAGATTGGCATGAGGTTTTTTCCATAGTATAGTTTATAGTTTGTACATGATTTTAGACTATAATTTTGTCATTTTTGGGTTTATATTCATTGAATTGTAGTCTCTCAAAGTTGGGATATCAAAGCTGGAAATTTTATGTTTTTCAGCTTTTTTTATATTTTGTGATAGTTTTAAAACATGCATATCTCATTCGTTTGAAGTCGGATTGGCATGAGGTTTTTTCCAAAGTGTAGTTTATAGTTTTTACATGATTTTAGACTATAATTTTGTTATTTTTGATTGTTTATTCATTCACTTATAGTCTCTCAAAGTTGGGATATCAAAGCTGAAAATTTTATGTTTTTCAGCTTTCTTTGTATTTCGTGATAGATTTAAAACATGCATATTTAATTCGTTTGAAGTAGGAATAGCATGCGGTTTTTTCCAAAGTGTAGTATAGAGTTTGTACATGATTTTAGACTATAATTTTGTCATTTTTGGTTTCATATTCATTGATTTATAGTCTCCCAAAGTTGGGATATCAAAGCTGCGATTTTTTTTCTAAGCTTTATTTTTGTATTTTGTGAAATTTTAAAACATGCATTCGACCCA